GAGAGAAAATGCCGAGTATTATCACAGTCGAAAGGCTTGGCCTAAATCTCTCAAAAAACAACTACATGGTCACTAAAAACGTAATTCTAAAACCAGAGCAGCTATAAAATATTGATTTGGTACAGTTTTTATAGAACAGTTACGACGCAAGTAAGAATCAGTGTTAAAGACCACATGTAGAGTAACCTAACGGATATTATAGGTAAATCTCTTCGTATGATAATAAGGAGTATACTAAATTCAAGTAAAACTTTCTTTTTGCGTACACCTGTTTGCATATGTTTGACGGAACAATCTCTTTCGTCTCAATCACATTTAAAAACAAAACGTTGCGACTTAATGAACCATATCAACTTTTGCTATAATTTGCTATAAAAACCGGTTAGGAAGTTACCAATAGTTTAACTGACTGACTGAACTTAATTAAAGTACAATTGAAAAGTTATGAGCACTGGGCGACCATTTCTTTCTAGAATGATATTTCTCATCAATGAACAACCACGACCCAGAATCCGAGCATCGAATCCAAGACATTCCATCTCGTGTGCTAAGGCTCAACCCTCGAATCACTGAGCCGGTATCTAACGAATATTGAAGTCTAACATCAATCAATTCATGAACTGCGATTGATAAGATAACATTAGAAGAACACTATAATTTAACAAACATATATTGGTGGAGAATACTTGGAGTTTTTTTATTTTGATTAAAACTATTCCTAGTTTCTAGGCTGTATATATAATTTTGTATACACTACTAATTGGATCTATTCTCATCTATACTCTTCTGTAATACGTATAACATTTATAGAAAACTTTATAACAGTTATTATTAAATCTTACTGTTTATATATTAATACTCCTAATGTATTTACTAGATTCTGTTTACATTTCATAAGCTATTACAGTCATTATTTTTTATCACGTATATTAACTATATATGTGATAAAAGACAATTATTATGTTATCGTAAGGTGTTAGTTAATAAAAGAAAAGAAAATATCATTTGAATAAATTTGAAGAAACTACTTAAATTAAGTATACTTAAACATTTATTATAAAACAATAAGATAGAATGTACAAATAAAAATAAACGTTAATTTATAAAATTCATTCTAGTCACGTTACTTTGTGTGTTTTGAACTACAAATTTTATTCACTATTCATAAAGTTAAATCAGATTATGAACATTTTAACTTAGTTAGTAATAAGTGCTAGGGCTGCAGCTATCACGAGTTCACTGAATCTGCGAGCGAAAAACAAGACTCGATGACCAAAGACCAGTAAGCTAGCTATTGATGCGTCCCACACCCGCTAACTAGAGGTAGAAGTCCAAGCTTGAAATGGGGAAGTATATTCTGCAAACAGCCAGAAACGAGCGATAACAACAAATACAATTCAAAACATATATACACAGTACAAAACTTTCCTTGGGGAGAGTTACCAAATAGCATACTAAAAGATGCAACGGACCAATAGCATTTAAGATATTTCCCAGTGGGAAATACGACATGGAGGTGACAGGAGCGCCTTTGGCGCGAAAACAAAGAAATTCAAATTTTCTAAATAAAATTACAAAATTAGGTTCTTTGCGAAGTGACTTCTGGGGATCTAACGTCCCCAACAATAAATGTAATGAATATATTGAGGCTTGGAAAGTGTATATCTAATCTCCTATGATATAGTAACTGACTGTTACTGTTGAATACTTTTAAAATGTTATTCTCTAGTGGATATTAGTCCCTGATGAAAATCGCTTCATAGTTTTTTCAACATGAATGATCAATATAATTTTTTCGATATCATTGTTGATATTGGCCACAGATGTGAAACTATATTTAGGATGTCATAACAACTACATAAGTCGGTGAAAATAATTGATTTTATAAGTCAATTAGTATAAAAATATAAAATCCTATATTTTTCGTGTTTTATGTGCTAAGTAGACCATCATTCAGTTTTATCACTTCATTGAATGAACAAGCAACATTATTTATATTTGCAGCATGTTTCAAGTAAGCTGGAACTATTGATAAATTTCTACTTCTATTGCTCTGATAATTACTGATTTTTAAGTTAAAGGAATTTATTGTGTGTGTTATATCAACAGTTATTTATTATATAGAGTTGAGAACAGTGGTGCGGGTAATGTAGTTAACCTATTGTGATGATCAGACTAAATACATTGAGTTTACTTTAGAGACAGTTCATAGTACTGAAATGGTGAGAAGTAATTAGTTTGTATATTAATGCAAGTATCTAAAATTTGGTTTCATGCTATGTAAAGCTTGATAGACATTGTATAAAACGACTGAATTTTTATAATTAGAGAGGGGTTTTTGTGAATATTATAGTGGTCTAGAGGTTAAGCATTCGCGCGTGAAACTTACAAGTCCTCAGTTCGAATCTCATGAGGTGGGATCGTGGATGCGCTCTACTGAGAATTCCCATACTAGGACTAAACGACTCACCACTGCTTCCAGGTTTTCCATGGTGGTCTAACTTTAATTGACTCATGATCTGAACTATTAAAATCTATGTAAATACTGAAAACGTTGGTTTAAACATCTGTGCAATGCATCCATTTCATACAAATTCTAATTTTCATTTGAATGAACCACTGTATAATCAATCTGATATTTAAATGTAACTGATATTTCATATAATAATTACTTTATAACAATATGAAAAGTTCATTATGAATTAACTTGAAAAATTATAAACATGTGACTTTTATTTTTCTCCTTTCAATGATTCAGTCAAATTATGCAGAGAAGAAAAAAAATTCCAAACAAAAAAATATTTTCATATGATCATTTACATTGAATAAAATTATAAGGAAAATTTATCTGGTTTTTTTCTTCTTCTTAAAATAAGTGGATAACAATTCTTGTGGTCAATAAATTTTATTCAAAGTAGTCATAATAATTCTAGATACATTGTTTGTATCCATGTTGGTGGTGGTGAGGTAGTAAAGTGATATATATATATATATATATATATATATATATATATATATATATATATATATTCAATCAATTCATAAGGAATGAATGAATACTAATCAAATGATCATATTCTACCTAAACTAATTTTCGTACACTTTATAAATAAAATGCAATTTGTGGGTTCCGATGACAGTTTTTACATTATCTAGTTTACTGACTGTTTAATTGAATTTCTCTTATTTAAATATTTTAATACATCGCTTTTTTTTTCGAGGTTAATTACCAATCTTCCCACAAATGTTTGTAACACTGTTTTGGTCATTGGACTTAAAAATAAAATATATCATTTGTTTTTACCTTACTTTCGTATATTAAACATTTAAAAGTATTAAAGAGGAAGAATGTATTTGTAAAATCTCAGCGAAAGAATTTGAAGTTTCGCCTGGAAATTTGGTCTAAGCTTTTCCAAGGAAAATAAAAGTTGGATTTACTTTAAATTCTTTCGCTGAGATTTTACAAATAAATTCTTCCTCTTTAATGTCTCACATTAACTCGGCGCTCAAATATTGTGAAACTATTCGTTCAAACTTAGACGAAAGTTCTTATTTATTTAAAAGTATCAAATCTACAATCCACAGCTGTTCATTACCTGATTGAATTACACCATTTATTATCTGGATCAATGGTATATTGTTAAGGATGCTTGAGACCTTTTCAAGCCGAATATCGTAAAGTTCATGATCGTCATTTTTTTGAATATATGACTTTATCGAGGAAGGGTGGACAGCATTTCATAAACATTCGGTTGTTTGAAGTGAGAAATCATACTCAAATGATCATTTGGTATTAAAATGACATCTTTAATGTTAAATTTCACAAACAATATCGGAAAAAAAGGAAAATGAGATGATAAAAAAAGTTTTTGCTTATGTACGATATATAGAAGATCAAAATGACATTTAAAAACTATTTATTAGTCAGTGGTTTCCAAATCCAAACATTAGACTTAATTTTCATCAGCCGTTTCGTGTTTACTTCGGAATCTTAACTTTTAAAGAGTTGTTCATTTAGCTATAAATATACATTTTTGATAATATCGCTTTACACGAGTCATTTTAGAGGTACTAACAGTCATTTCAAATTACATGAGTGAATAGTAATCTGTTTAATGTTGATTTATTGAAATATCAACCAATTTTTGTAGTATACGTTTCAAGATTTGTGCTCAATACTACGTTATTCCATTTATTGTTTGGAACGTGCGATTTATTTACTACAACATCGATGTATTATTACTGTCCGAAACTATCAGCTTACTATAATAACACTTACCTACAAAGAGTGAGAATATGTACTCAACATTATTCATTGCATAATACCATGAATGTCAAATTCGCAGTATAACATACGGAGTGTAACTTATTTGCATAGAAGTTTTTCTCTTTATGAACTGACAATTTATCAAAGAAATAAATTCTTAATGGATAATAATTTGATTTTTTTCAAAGCCGTATGATATTTTGTCATTAGAAATGTTAGAGCCAACTGATTTTAGAGTTTCTTTAAGAATATTTATCACCAATCTACCAAATAAACTTAATGAATATAGTTACTTACAGTAAAATCATGAACATGTTTACTTATCACTTTATTATTTGAATGGTTTTACAGATTTAGATAGATAGACAGGATCGAAGATAAACCTACTTTTTTACATAATAGAGTACAGTGTACAAACATTTGTCTTAAACAAATGATTTATAGGGTATTGGATTCTAGTGACAATGTTAGGAAATAGAAATAATATTGTTGATAAAATATGGACTATTTTAGTATTGAAATTATGAGTAGTTTTTCATACATTGGCTAATAAACAATGTTAGTTACCATTTGGGTTGTAAAATGTTTTAAATAAAATTTCCTTCTCCTGATAAACTCAAAGGTAGACTGTCAGATTTTATAGTAAATTCCACAAATTCGTGTTCACTGTCATGATAAAATTCATTTTGTAGATTATTTTCATCTGAATACATTTAAAAGAGAAATTCTTTTGCTACGGTGAAGACGTCGATTCCATGGAATATTTGTGGTCTGTGTATAATGATGAACCATTAGCAAGTGACATTGTAGACTGACAATTAATAGATTTTAAAGCATCTGTTGGTTCATCGGTATACTGTGACACATAAGTATCTCTAGTTTGATTTAGCCTTGTGCGACACCAATTAGAATGTGTTTTACATGGTGTGCACAGAATATCAAGAAATGCTTTACGAATATCCCGTAAAGAATATGCATAGATAAACGGATTGACACCAGAATTCAAATAGCCAAGCCATGTGACAAGTGGAAAAATTATATTCTCTTGAGTTTTTAAAACCGATGGGTAAACAGCTTTTATTGTGTTATAAACAAAAAATGGTAACCAGCATAACACAAATACACCCATCACAATTCCAAGAGTTTTAGCTGCTTTCCGTTCTTTAGTGAATCGTTGTACTCGTTTTTTGATTTCACTTAGATAGCTTCTTGATGATAGCAAACTTTCTTCTGCATGCTGCGTCCCAGGTGTTGCTATTATATTGTCATCCTTTTGTATTAATGAATTGTTTACATTAAATCGATTGAATATAGTTCTGTAGCAACCAGAGAACAATGTGCAGTGAGTGTGTTTTTCATCAATTGATTGAGATTTTCTAGAGTGATTAAATTTAACATGTTTTTTATTTTTTTTGTTTTCATCTACACTACACTCTAATATTTCATGATTATTTTTATTATCATCATTTGCTGTTGGCGACAATAGAGGCGATTGATTGTTGAGGATTTCATGAGAAGATACATACGATACTTTGATAGAAGTATTGGGATTATGGGGCAATACACCCTGTTGTAAGACTGACGGCAGTGTTTTAGTTATACCGCCTCTGTGCACTCTTAATATCATCGCCTCACCACCTAGTGATTTTCGATAAATCAGTCTTTTACCTGTGTTAAAGGTCTTAATGAGACCATTTGCTTTCTGATATATCTTCCAATAAACAAAAATCATAACTATCAAGGGTATATGAAATGAAATACACGAAGAAATGAATAAATAAACTCTATCAGAAGAAAATAAACATTCTAAATCTGGTACACTATGCATATCAGAAATATTATACATACTACTTGAATGTCGCCACCAGGCAATGGCTGGAAAGGAAATTAGAATAGAGCATACCCAAGTAAGCATAATCATAATAATACATCGCGAATGTGTTACACGTAAAGGATAATTAAATGGGTCTGAAATAGCAATATAACGTTCCACTGAAATTGCACATAAATTTAAAATTGAAGCTGTTGAACTAAGAACATCAAATGCGTGCCACAGATTTGACCAAATGGCCATAAAACATACTGATCTTGCTGATTTTTGGGAAGACAGTCTTTGTGGATAGATCTTAATAGATCAATCACAGCGAATGGCATAACAATAGCTCCCAATAGTAAATCTGCTGCTGCTAAGGATGCTATGAAACAATTAGTAACATTTCTTCGCAATTTATGTTTTGTACAGATTGCAACAAGAACAAGTAAATTACCACCAATAGTAATGGCTATAATTACAATAAATCCCAGAAATGTTATAGTTTCCACTATAGAACTACTACTTGAAAGTAATTGTTCACTTATATTATTATTAGTGTTATTTTGAGATATATCCACATTTAGGTAGTTCTCAGTGTTCATTTCCCATTAAACGAAGTGTAAGTTATTTGATCATGCTCTAAATGTTAATAAATAAATGAATAAACTTATTCTATTAAATATTATAGACTATTATTTATTCTTATGTCTTATATAATTAACTGTTCACCTTCCAATAGTATAATCTTTTCTACTTTCCTAGCCAATCAAATTCAATTTACGTGACCAATCAAACTATTAATTTCAAAACTTAGTGTTATTACCAATAATAAAATTTTAAAAACAGTAATTCTTGTAAATTCGAGATAAAATAATTGAGTACTTTTCGTATGTTTAAAATGACTAGTCTGATATATTCTTATATTTTCATAAAAGATGTGCTAATTAGGCAAACTAAAGTAATTTGTTTGTAATAGTTAAAAATATTTATGAAAACTATAGATGGATATATAAGCAAAGATAGATAGTGGCTAGCAGTGGAATCCAGGACACGCGTTTCGTCTTATTTAGAACTCATCAGCTGAACGAAACGCGCATCCTGGATTCCACTGCTAGCCACTATCCATCCTTGTTTAGAATACTTGTGAATTGAGGCAGTTTTGAGGCAATATGCACAGTATGCACATATGCCAATAAGAGACTGATCAATTGCAGTCCTAAGTAACAAAAAGGAAGATACATGTAAAGAACAACAAGTGAATATAGATGGATTTGTTTACTCACAACAAACACATTATTTCCATTAAAAATTCCTGTATTTAATAATAAATTCTTTTATGTGAAAAATACACATTCATCGATAATATATTCATGTTATTATGGATTTTATAGGCTTAGGTGTTACAAATTTACTGAAATCTATTTGTATAAAATATTGAAATTAATACTATTCTTTGATAAAAGACAATTAAAGTCAAAGTTAAATGATGGGATTCAATTAGTTAAATTATTCGAATAATATATGGCTTGATTAGGTGTATAAATTCAAAATCTCTGTATACTGAAATCTCACTGTCACAGAAATCTTTATAAAGTACGCTGAATGACTGAATACTAATCAATATTATATTATGTGATCTTTAGTGCAGACTAAATTTAACTAGTCGTTTTACATTGTTGTTAATAGTCAATCTGACATGAAATTGCGCTACACCATGTTAGATACTGTATTGTAGTTGGAACGAAGTAAGACGTTATGAACGTATATTCAATGCTAGTTGACAGCAATCAACCAGGCGTAGCTGAAGTTTTAAAATCCTGATGCTTCTTAATAATTTAGAAAATAGTATCGTTCAGTGTCTCATTAAAGATCGCTAGTATTGAGGTCTTCAAGATATGATTAATCCATAACAAAACTGAAGTATTCTCACCAGATGATCACTGATTGGCAGTTATTATCCTGCTGTTTCATCATTAATGTTGTTCCAGATCTTATTGATTGTGTTGATTGATGAATTGAATGATAACTAGAGGATTTTATTTTTTAAAAGAGCGGATTGAGAAATAAATTGGTAGATAAAATGAGATTTAAAATATTTTGCTCATGTAATTACTGTACAAGTCCATATCTTCTAAGGACGATTATGTTAAGATTGTAACCATCATTGAGAAATGTACATTTACTACACTTACTTGATATTTATTGAGTTGGATTATCTGATATAATGCTGGAAATACATGAAAAATTTGACCAACAGTGGGTACAGTTGAAACAATAATTGATCCTTTTTTAACGATTCTGCATTAAGTTATATGGCGATGAATAAACAACATTGCTTTACCTAGAGATGTCTTGTAATATCTGGTTGTTTCAACTTGCATTCAATGATATCAAGTAAAGTAATTTGGTTATTTGTTTTCCTTGAAAATATCCATATGGTTATTAAATTGTCAGTTAGATATTTACTTGTCTATAATAATGTTTTTTACAGTCTGATATCTCACCAATCATCTCAAAAGTATTAAGACAGTACAGTGATGAAGTTTTCTTTTCGACAATATCATTTATTCATGATGTACAATCGTATTTATAGTTAATTTACAAATAAAATAGTTTATTAAAAAAGTTGAGATAACGATTACATCATATCGTGTGGCAAAGGAAGTAACTTGATAGTTGAGAAATGAAGAGAGATAATAAGATCACATGCGAGAAGGATATTTGTCTACTTCAGAAGTATGAGAAGGGTGAAGATGATAACAAATAACAAGTAAAATCAAAGTTAAAACGATTAAAGCATTATAAGAATCAAACTACCGTTTATTAAAATTAAGTGTTAGGGCCATGGAAGAATGATGGCTTGCAGTTGTCTCTTTTGCACACTGAGTTCAAGTTTGAAAGGATGGATTGCTAGTACCTCTGCAGCGCACAAGTTGTTAAGTTGCTCTACCTTCGTACCCGATGATCTAAAAAACGTATCTGGTGGTGCACGAAACCAAAGTTCACAAGACGTTCCAAATTTGAACTGCTGATTGATTTATATTCACCTTTTGAAAGCCAGGCGCTATAATGTTCGTAGATGTGCAACATTCCATGGCTCTGACACTTCATTTTAACAAACGGTGATTTGATTTTTTAATACATTCTTCTAATGTCTTAACTTTAATTTTAATTATTACTTGATTTCATCTTTACCGTTCTTATACTTGTCAAGTGGACAATTATCCTTCTCACATGTGATTTCATCCTATTATCGTTCTTCAATTCTTTTGTCAATGAAATCATAGATTACTTTCACCTTAGAAGTGTTGGCAGTCATATCAAATGACAGCAGCAAACGGCCGTCTGTTGAAGGGTACCTTGCATAAATGTTTACATACATACTACAGGTACGACTTTTAAACTAAGGAGCAGGTCTTTGTACTATAGATTCCTATAACAGTACTTAATACCACATATCTTAATTTATTAGCTGCAAGTTTAATAACCAAATTTAATAACTTTAATAGCTAAAGCATTGATGTTCGTAAAAAGCCCAACTATGGTTACATACCATAGTACTTTATAACGATTATCTTGACCATATTTTTTAGCCAATATCTAAGTTCTAAATTTAATATCATTCTCAACATTAACCTCAGCATGCATACCATGTATTTTGTGTTAATTTTATACCTCTCCAGCAGATCGGATATTTGATAGGTTTAAAATATATTTCACTGACGTACGATAAGTTTAATGTCTTATCATTGCCATTGTTTTACAATCCTCATAATGCTCAGTAAATTTACAGAAATACTTTTTATATAAAGTATGTATGCTCTGTTGTTAAAGTTAGATTTGTTTAATGACGAAAATACAGAAAATACCACAGTGATTTCTAACTAAATTTGCAGTGTATTGTGCAGTTTTATGATATAGTTTATATCATATGTTACAGGTTTTCAATAAAACTGTATATTTCAACGGTTAAGACCATGAGTCAGTTGAAGCTAGAGCACCACGGAAAACCTGGAAGCAATGGACGGCCGTTTCGTCCTATTGTGGGACTCCTCAGCAGTGCGCATCCACAACCTCGCCCCCTGCGAGATTCGAACCCAGGACCTACTGGTCTCGCGCGCTAGCACTTAACCACTAGACCACTGAGCCGGCCGGCATCCAACGGTTTTAATGTCTCACTTCAACTAATCCACGAAAATGAGCGACACATCCAACATTGTCTTCAGTGAGTTACTATCTCACAACAGACTAGGTTGAACTCCACTGGTCACTACTTCTCACTAGAGCTCCAGGATATACCCATCTGATATTAAAACTGTATATGTGTCCCTGATTAACAGTTATCAACCTACGTTAGCAGAAGTCGCAGAAAAATGGAGCTAAACTATTAGAATAATCAACGTTTTCTGTCATTTTTTAAACATGTTGATATCATGCCTACAGTGCAAGCCACAGTTTACCAAAAAATTCCTTTTTCACTGTGTTATCGGATATTTAAAAAAAAACAATTTCCTTTTTTTGTTAAATGACTACCGCATGGTTTGCGCATTTATAACATAGTTCTGTTAATCATATGTTATTACTAAAGGTTAATATGTGAAATAAACTGAATTCATCAAGATGAAACTTTTCACCTAGTTGTATGGATTTTAGAATGTGACTAACATTAAAAGAATTTATCAAAATAGATTTCTGTTTTCTGTTTATGTACTTTCTACTTAGCGCAGATTAATATGAACATACTATTTGTATAATAATAATCTCGTGGTTTTATTTCTTTAAATGTTTAATCAACGATTGTTTAACTGAATAAATATCACAAACTCGATGGATATTGATAAGGTTAAAATAAAGTTGGTTATTAGAAAATAACTAAAAGTAATAACAGTGAAGTGAAACATGTTACATAAATGAGGACTGTGTAGTTATCTCTTAATTGTTAATCGAAGAGACAGTTCTTTGTAGAATATAACATTCAATCGACAGAATTATACATAAGGCAAATGTTTTATCATAAAAAGAAGTTTTATATCATTGTTGTACCAACAGGTTCATAATTGATGAAGTGTTATTAAGGACAGGTATAATTATCAATCGCTATAGTGGATAGATCTCTATCGTTTCAGAGTATCAGTTTAAATCAGAGTATTGACAATAATTTTTTTATAACAGTATTTATCTCAAATATTTCTAAACTAACCAAAAAAAGCACAACCATAATTGTTTAGTTATTAATCTACACAACTCACATAAAAACATCAATCTGTTAGTTAATATTCACTGACTGCTTATTGGTTTCATCATCAAGTAGTTGACTTATTAATTATGATCGCAATCGAGCTTTGTGGAGATTGTATTTATTTCAGTAGTTGAATTCATGAGTCGACGTAAGCTAGACACACCACTGAGGACCTGGAAGCACTGAATGTCGTTTCGTCATAGTATGGGACTCCTCAACAGCATACGTGATTCGGATCCAGGACCTTCGGTCTCTTAAACTCTGTACCACTGAACCAGTCATCATCCAACGGTGTTGATGGCTTACTTAGTGTGTGTGCATTGCTAAATAATCCCACACGGCTATCTACTGCTTCTAGATTTT